AATACATAATCATACATTATGTACCTTTTTATGTCTGGCTTCTTTAGCTGAACATTGTGTCCATCCGTATTGTTAATGTAGCTGTGCTTTTTCATTTTTCATTCTCATTAGAGTGTATTATAGTTTTCATCATCTGAATATATAACAGTTTGTTCATTCTTCTGTTGATGGATATTTGTGTACTTTTCAGTTTTTGACTATTGGGCAATCCTACTTCCGTAGTGATACTGCCTCGGAAACCCAAGGAGGGGTCGCTATGAGTCGGGGCCTACTCGACGGCACATAACAATAACAACAACAATAAATAGTGTGTGGCTATGAATTTTCTGGGAAAGCTGTAGAGTATATATGCAGTTCTGTTGCGTATATACCTAGGGATGGAATTACTGGACTATAGTATGTTCGTATGTTGACTTAAGAAAATAACTACTAATCAGTTTTCCAAATGGTTGTATCTGTTTCTACTCCTAATACAAATTTAGGTTGTTTCACATCTTCCTCAACACTTAACAATTTTCCAACTCTTTTGTCATACTGGTGAGTGCATGGTGGTTTTACAAGTAATTTTAATTGTTTATAAATGAACTTTGAAATTTTACCCCTTCGCCTAAGGCATTTGACTGCTAACCAGAAGGCTGACAGTTCAAACCCATGAGCCACTCCTCGGAAGGAAGGTTGGGCAATCTACTTCCATAATGATACTGCCTCGGCAACCCAAGGTGGGGTCGCTATGAGTCGGGTTCGACTCGACGGCACATAACAACAACAACCTAAATAAAACTTCTGTTGGTGCATCGTAGTTAAAAATCTTTTAATATTCTGTATTTATAATTATTAAATTAGCCACATACTAATACCCACTAATGGTTAACTATTCTACTTCATTTCTCTCACTCAATTGCCTTCATTATTTTTATGCTTGATTCTCACCCTCCCCTCTTTATTTTTTCCTTCCCTAGTATGGACTTCGGGAGCTCTGGTAGCATAGTGGCTAAGACACTTGCCTGCTAACCAGACGGCTGGCGGTTCAAACCCACCAGCCACTCCTTGGAAGGAAGGTTGGGCAATCCTACTTCCGTAGTGATACTGCCTCGGAAACCCAAGGAGGGGTCACTATGAGTCAGGTTTGGCTTGACGGCACATAACAACAACAACAATAGTATGGACTTCGTTAACAGATAGTTTCAGTTCTTTATTCAAAGAGGAAAGTTTAGCCTGATGGTTTGGTAATAGTTTTTAGTCTCATCTCTTTAAATATCTCTCTCTTTGGTAGCTTACTAGACTTGGCTTCTATAACAATATTTCATCCTGGTTGTTCTTTCCCTGACCTTCCTCCTGCAAATACAATTTTAAACATTTGTATTTCTAGATTGTTTCTTTGGTGCTCTTCTCTCCTTGTTTCCTCCCCTAATTTCTAGAGTCATATTTCCATCTATATATCATGTATTGATATTTTTCTAGGTACTTTGAACTTGGAATTGTCAAACCTTTGTCAAACCAAATTTCAAGTATTTCTTGGTTGATGCTGTCACCTTTTACTCAAGTGTTCTAAGTTAGAAATGCCCTGCCTTTCTCGTTCTACTGCAACTAATTATCAAAAAATTCCATTAATTTTATATTTCAACGTAGGAAGAAGCCTCCACTTTAGTGACAGTATGAGAACTGAATTTCTAAAACAGATCATCTTATCCTTCTGTGAAAGGGGCAGGGAGGCGGCATCTTCTGACCTCCTCTGACTGTTCAAGAGGAGGACAGAATCACCATCAGCAGCCTAATGCCTGTTCTTATAAGGCCAGACATGCCACCACCCTCCAGCCCTCTTAATAACCTTGACACCAACTGTTCCTCCTGCAGCACCTACCACCTCTCTGCTGGGTTCGATAATTTGCTGCAGTGGCTACACTGAACTCACAGATTATGGGGATTATTAGAGAAGCAACAGGCTACAATTCAAGTTCAGGAATGCGCTCAGTCTCTCTCAGCCAACCGTCTCTCTCAGTAGTACATCTTTCTCTGAGCAGTGCGTGTCTCTGTCCTGTTTCTGAGCAGCACATTTCTCTCAGCATGTCTTTCTCAGCTGGCTTCTAGGAGGGCTGCTTTTGAGGCTGGCAGAGTGCCCCAAACCAACCAATCCTAACATCAGAGTTCTACACACCTGAGAGAGAGAACTTCCCAGAAAATTACTTCATGCTGCTCCCGACAGAAATATACCAGGTGGATAAATCAGGAGCTACTCAGTTGCTCATGGCAAATTCCACCAGGGGGTTTACAAAGACTATGGCTAGATTATTGGGAGCTCTGGTAGCATAATGCTTAAGGCACTTGACTGCTAACCAGAAGGCTGGCAGTTCAAACCCACCAGCCACTCCTCAGAAGGAAGATGGGACAATCTACTTCCGTAGTGATACTGCCTCGGAAACCCAAGGAGGGGTCGCTATGAGTTGGGTCCGACTCAACAACACATAACAACAACATGGCTAGAAAAGCCATACCATACACTTGCACCCTCCTTCTACCCCTTCCTTAGTGCAGACTACATCATATTCTAGATTGTTGTTCAGTTACCCTTTCTCTTTGATCTTTAATTTCCCCCTTCTTTTTTTTACTTTTACAGTCTGAAGAATTCAGACATTGGCTGAAACAAAGAATTTAAATGAAAACTTCCATTATTCAATTTACAAAGCTAAATGTAAAAGAAGTAGAAATAGCCTTTCAAATGATGGTTTTTGTAAGTTTATATTTCAGTTTATTGAAGACGTATTTCAAGTTACTCAAGTTATACTTCTGGGGTTATTAAAACTCCCAAAACTACACAAAGACTTTTGGAATACCTCCTATTTAAGCATTTTGATACCAAAAAAAAACTAAACCCACTGCCATCAAGTCCATTCCAATTCATAGACACCATACAGGACAGAGGAAAACTGTTCATAGGGTTTCCAAAGTTGTAAATCTTCATGGAAGCAGACTACCTCATCTTTCTCCCATGGAGTGACTGGTGGGTTCAAACTACCACCTCTTAATTAGCAGCCAAATGCCACAGCCACTCTGCCACCAGAGCTCCTGGAATTTTGATGAATATTGACAAATTTCTTTCCAGAAGGATAGAGCACTCATTTTCTTATATCTTCTTTAACACAGATTATTTTTATTTTAACCTTTTTCTAATTTGATAAATGAAAAGAAGTAGCAACTTGATTTTATTTACTTTCCATTTTTTTAAATTAGTTATGGTAAATATTTTAAATGTTTTAGTTTATGATATTAATTGGTAATCACTTGTAATGTCACATTAGTAATAATAGCTACTTTTTATTGAGAACTTACTACCTGACTGTGACAAATACTGTGATAAGCATTTACATGCATTATCTATTTTAATCCTCTGAACAATGCTATGAAGTGTGCATTTGTTATTTTATGGGTAAGGAAACTGATTTTAGAGTGGAAAATTGACTTGTTCAGAAATCCAAATTCTGTGATCCGTATTATACTTATTATGTCTTAATTTTTGTTAGTACAGGTGAGGACTATCCAATATATCTGCATTTATAGAGGATTAGATTAAATGTATACTTGCTCTGGATTCCAGATATAAATATTTGTGATTTATCTTAATCTCCTAGACAACATTAAGCTTTCCTTAGCATAGTAAGTACTAGAAGCTATAGAAAAACCCATTTAACTTTGTTGTTTACACTGTAATTTCCCAAACCAGTTTGTGTACTGTTTTGTAGAAGACCTATTCATATTTTGTGGAATAGCGTCTTGAAGTACATCAGTTTGAGACAAAAGCTGCTGTGGGCCATTTTCTGATTTTTATAAGGGGAAGAAGTGGAGATTCATTCTGGTTAAATGTGTTGCATAAAATCATACAACTACTAAATGGCAGAGCCAGAATAAGATCTAGTATTTCCTGTGCTTACGTTTCTTCTGATAATGTTATATTAATATTTATTTTTCACATAAAAACCAAACAAAAACTCAATTGCCCTCAAGTTGATTCCAACTCATAGTGACCCTATAGGACCGATTAGAACTGTCCCATAGGGTTTCCCAGGCTTTACGGAAGTTGACTGCCTCATCTTCCTCCTGCGGAGTGGCTGGTGGGTTTGAACTGCCACCTTTTTGTTTATCAGCTGAATGCTTTAACCACTGTACCACCAGAGCTGCTCTTTTTCATATACTGTTTATAATTTCTTTTATATCTCTAATCCAATTATCAATATTATACTTTGAGAAGTACATGCAGTTTAAAAAATTATGAGATATGTCATATGAATAGCCTAACTTATTCAGCATGAATATCCGTTATCACTTTTTTTAATGGCATAATTTTTATTTTTAGACTGGCATTTTAATATACCAGTTCTTCTGTATGTTTTTTAATTAATACAACAAGGAAAATTAGTAACATTTGTATGATAGAACTGAATATGATCTGATATACCAGTTTTTACTTTTAAGGTTAATTTTGCCATTTATTAGTTCACATTTCACTTTCATAGTGAAGGACAGTTGTTCATCTAGCTTTTTGCTCACTCAGGACTCCCTGTACAACATGCCTTGGGTCCCTTACCTAGTAAGATATTCAAGGGGCCAGACTTTTGGGGACACTGGTCTATTCACTCTGTCCGTGTTCCTCAGTCATGGTGGCCCCTTACAGATCACTGGGTTGTGTACATGGGGATGCACCTGGCAGGAAGCTCGCCTGCTTCCTCCTAGGGACACCAAGAATTGTGTTGGGCCATTGGAGATGACAGAATCTGCAGACCTGCACATCCCACTTAGCCCAGTGTGATAAACTCTTTTAATCTTGATGTCTAAGGAGGTCCCCATCTCTGATTCTCCTTAGAACGTGCCACTTCTTGTTGAGCTAACCGAGGAGATGGTGGGCTGCTCTCTCTCCATCCTTTCCCCTTCCTACCTGTTTGATATTAATCACAGAAATGAAAGAGTAGTTTTTTCTCTAGTTAATGTGTCACAAATGTCTGGTTTAGTTTCTGTAGAAAATGTTTCCTGACTGCAATGAGAGAAAGTGGAACACATTGTCCTCTCTGTCGTGGAAATGTTACTAGAAGAGAGAGAGCATGTCCTGAACGGGCACTAGACCTTGAAAATATCATGAGGAAGTTTTCTGGTAGCTGCAGATGCTGTGCAAAACAGGTAAAGTAAATATGATATATCTCTTCTTAGAAAGTCAAGTTTGTACTCTGGAATTCCTACTTACAAATATAGGTGAAGTAGCTGCTATTTTGAAGAGAAAAAATTTATTTAAGTTGGGAATTGGGCAGAAAAGTCCAAAAAGTTGTGACTGTAGACCTCACTAGATTACAAATTAATTGAGAACAGAAACCAATACTCTTTGAATACACCATAATTTTTAGCATGGTATTTTTCTCAAAGTAATTGCTCAAAAGTTACATGAATTAAATGAGCAAGCTAGCATTTAACTCATTAACAGCATTCTGATACAAACTCAACCCTTAAGTAGTTTTTCTAACAATAACATCAGGGTTCAGCTTTGCACATAGAAAGGTTAATTATTTGGCCAGATAGATTTGTGTGGTTAAGGAACTTTTTTTAACTGCCTGTTTTATTTGTATATTTATTTAAGAAATTACAAAATATTTGGTAGAACACTTAGTTTTTTGAGGAACAGGTGGGAAAATAAGATGCTGGCAAATAACTGGCATTCTTCAATCTGGATTTTATAGTTCCATCATTTGGAGAAGGAGTAAAAAATGGTGAAGGATGGTTAGGCTTTGGATATATCCCTGTGTCTGTGGATTTATTGCAGGCATTTTTTTTCTAACAGCTATAATAGAGTCACTGAGCAAAACTAGTTGCTATTTCATGCATTCACCCAAGTAAGATCTGCTTCTCCATCTCTTTGAGGGAAGTGTTTCACTGACGGGGCAATGGAGTGGAGCTGGAAAACATACTTGAAAGATTCTGGCTGTACTCCTCAGTGAGAAACTGAAAAATGTGTCAAGTTTTTACCTGGGAACTTAATTTTTTAAGCTCTTTCTAACTATGCCAGATTTTAGTAAAGAATAAAGAAATGAGTAGTAGTACGATACGAGGCAATCTCTTAGTATATATTTATTGGCCTATTATTACTGTTAGCTGTTTAAAGCTCAAGCGTAAAATTTTTGTTATATTTGTTTGTGATGAGTCTGGACAGATGGACCATTCTTCAATGCCTCTGCTGCTGACAGATGGAAATATATTACTTATTTTCACCTTGTACTTAAGTATAAAATCATTTACTTTAAAAAAAAGCTTGTTTAAATGGAATTAATTTTTTTTTCTTTTGTTGACAATATCTCAAATCTTGTGAATTCCAAATTAAAAATCACATTACCTTTTAATCAATAATTTACAGATTAAATTCTATCGCATGAGACATCATTACAAATCTTGTAAGAAGTATCAGGATGAATATGGTGTTTCTTCTATCATTCCAAACTTTCAGATCTCTCAAGATTCAGTAGGGAACAGGTAAGCAATGCTTATTACAAAAAATAAAATTTTTATAATGGACTGGAAATTGTTTTAGGGAACCTACAATAAGTGATTTTTTTGTTTTGTGTGTGCGTGTGTATGTGTTGTTAAGTAAATTGCCAAGTATCAGACTATACAATTTGTCTTCAAAGTTTAATTGGTACTCGTAAAAATGCATCTGGGATACCAGCTTCATGATATATTTAAGCTCATATTGTTTAAAATCATTCTACAGATCTACATTCTTTGAATAAAACCATGTAGACCTGGAAGTTGAATATTATTTTCTCTTACTGATTTTGCAACTACTGTTACTTGAAAGGGAGCTCTGGTGGTGTAGTGCCTAAGGCGTTTGACTGTAACCAGAAGGTTGGCAGTTCAAACCCACCAGCCACTCCTTGAATGGAAGCTTGGGCAATCTACTTCCGTAGTGATGCTGCCTAGGAAACCCAAGGAGTTTCTATGAGTTGGATCCGACTTGACAGCAGTGAGTGAGTGAGTTATTTGAAAATTGGAGAAAAACACTGTTAGTAATATATTTACACAATAGAATCTTTGTTTCTTTGCTATTTAAGGGATAGACAGTTGTATGAAATTATTAGGTTGAATTTTTCTATTATAATAAAATTTCATGTAAGTATGACTGTTAGATTCTTAGTTCTATTTTGGTTTCTGGTTGTTTTTTTTCAGTAAGTTTTGTTTTACTTGATTTATATATTTAATTTTTTTAATGAAATGTGTTTTACACAGAAAAATGGCCAAAATGCACAAGTGTAGTTATAAAAACCGTGATAAAACATATTCAGTAATTTAGTAACCTATAGATCAAGAAATAAGAACATTATTCCTGTAGCTCAGCATCTCCTGTGAGCCCTTTTCTGTTTGAAGCCCTAATCCCATCCTACACTCCCAGAGGTAACCACTATCCTCTATTTTGGTTTATTCATTCCATTGCTTTTCTTTTTAGATTTACTACCCATGTATGTATTCCTAAACAGTGCATTATTTAGTTTTGAAAAACTCAATAGCAAACACACATAAGACTGTATAAAGAAACGCAGTACTGTTAGTGCTGCTATTGTAGAATGGCTCTCAGGAGACTGTGTTAAACAGTCTCTTAAGACTTTATTTTAGTAGTGTTTCATTTCACAACATATGTTACTAATTTTCAGTAATCTAACCATCCTTAAGCACTCTACAAGGAGCCCTGGTGATGCAGTGGTTAAAGCTCTTGGCTGCTAAATGGAAGGTCAGTGGTTTGAACCCACCAGCTGCTCTCTGAGAGAAAGATGAGACAATCTGCTTCCATAAAGATTTTCTGCCTTGTAAACCCTATGGGACAGTTCTGCTGTCCTGTAGGGTCACTATGAGTTGGAATCGACTCATTGGCACTGGGTTTGGGTTTTGCCAAGCACTCTGCATTTATACCTACAGTCAGATTTCTTTCCTACCCTTCAGTTGAAACTGTTCCAGTTAAGGTCTTTTAGAAAATTTTCTAATTGCCCAGTCTACAAAATTATTTATGTTTTTCCTTTTTTTTTAATAGTGTTCCCTCCCCTCCCCTTCTTTAGATTCTTATTTTATTTGAATTCTCTCTTAGTTATCTAGTGATGTTGTAACAGAAATACCACAAGTAGATGTGTTTAAAAAACAGAAACTTACTGCCTCACAGTTTTGGAATCTAGAAGTCAGAATTTAGAGCACTGGTTCGGGGAAGGCCTTTCTCTGTCTATTGGTTCTAGGAAGATCCCAGAACAGATACCCTGGGTCCAAAGGACACATACTGATCCTGGCTTTTTCCTGGTGGGGGTAAGCCCCTTCCCCCTTTTTTTTTAAATTGTGAGTTGGATGAAAGTTTACAGAGCAAATGCACTTTCCATACAGCAGCAGTTCACATACACTTTGTCTCATGACATTGACGATAGTTTACCATGTCCCCACCCACTTCCTCCCCATAGTTACTCTTTCCTGTGTCCATCCCTTCATGCGCTCCTTCTATTCTCCCATGATTGTCCCTCCAAGCATTGTATCTACCTCTACTGTAAATGTTCACCTCATATGCCTGTCTTTTGTTTGACTGGAAGCCACAGGTGTGGGTTCAATTCCAGACCTGAAGGGCAGCTAGGGGCCATAGTTTCAGGAGTTCTACCAGGCTCTGTCAGAGCAGCAGACCTGGTCCCGCTTTTTTTTTTTCCAAATGATTTTGAGTTTTGTTCCACATTGTTCTCCCACTCTATCCAGGATCTCCTACATAGCTCGTCCTCCGAATGGTTGATAGTGGTAGCCAGGCACCTTTTCGTTTTTCTGGTCTCATAGTCATATAGGCTGAGTTACCAGTCCCTTGGACTAATTGTTTCCATGAATCTTTGGTTTTCTTCATTCTTCTTTGCTCTGGACGAGGAGAGACCCATCGTTGAATCTAGATAGCCGCTTGCAAGCTTTTAAGATCCCAGTTGCTATTCGCCAAAGTAGAATGTGGAACAATGTTTTTGTGTGGTATGTTACGCCAATTGAGCTTGATGTCCCCTGCGACTATGGTCCCGAGCCTACAGGTCCAGCCACTCGCTTCCTCTGGGTAGCTGGCTGTGGCCAAGAAGTGACTACAACCTTGTCCTTGTCAGCTCTACTATATACCTGGGAAATCTTACAGAACATACCGATACACTTATAGAAACACTGTCTGCCAACCCTGTACATGGTCTTGGGCGCACTTCCCCTGTATATATATACCTTTGTTCAGCGTGTCCACCCATTTATCCACTCGTGTATCCATGTTTGCCTTCACTGACAGTGCAGTACTGTATGTGCAAAAGGGTTCATCTTTGTTGTCTGAACCTCCCATGTACCTCTCTGTATTGTCTTCCTTGGTGCTACCATGTTGATCACTCACATTTGGTACATTGCCCTTTTCTTCACTGAAATCAATACTTGTCTATACCTATCTAACAGTGTTCCCTACCCTACCCTCCCACCCCTGGTAACCAACAAAGAAAATTTCCATCCATATATAAACTTTTCCTTGACTTTTTACAATAGCGGACTAATGCAGTGTTTGTCCTTCTGTGATTGACTTATTTCACTCAGGATAATGTCCTCCAAGTTCATCCACGTTATGCGGTGTTTTGCTGATTCTGCATTATTCTTTAGGGTTGCATAGTATTCCATTGAGTGTATGTACCATAGTTTTGTTATCCATTCTTCAGTTTATGGACACCTAGCTTGTTTCCATCTTTTAGCTATTGTAAATAGTGCTGTGATGGACATGAGTGTGCATATATCTGTTCTTGACCTGGTTCTCACTTGTTTAGAATATATACCTAGTAATGGAATGGTTGAGTTAGATGGTATTTCTAATTCCAGTTTTTTTAAGGAATCGCCATACTGATTTCCACAGTAGTTGTACCATTTGATAGTCCTACCAGCAGTGTATGAGAGTCCCAATCTCTCTGCTGCACCCCCCCCCCTTTCCTTTTATGTCTTGTAAGAGAAAAGGTCTTGCAGGCCACACCCCAGGGAAGTTCCCTTTACATTTATTGTTCAGAGTTGTGACAGGATGAAAGGTGTTACATCCCACCTTTAATCCTCTTACACCTGATGGGTTTATCACATCAGATCGTATCATGGGGTATCATTACATATCTGCCACATAACCTCATTACATAACTACTGAACCCCTGAGAATCATGGCCCAGCCATGTTGACAAAAATTTTGGGGGAGGCACAGTTAAATTCATGACAACTTCTTAGTGTCATTGGATTAAATTGGTCACTCCTATCTCATGATTCTTTAATCCTCTGAGTTCCTTCACTCCTTGTGTTTTACTCATTATTGTACTTCTGCTACATTCTAATTACCTATTTATTTGTTTTTGTGCCCAGTAGATTAAGTTTTTAAGTGTGAGGATGGTGTTTGTCTTGTTCACCATTGTATCTCTAGCTTGTTAGCATATTTCCTAGTATATATGACTTGTGCAATCACTGCTTGTTAAATTACCAGTTAACTGTTTCTTCTCACGACATACCTTTTTCTTCTCTCTTATCCCTGAGATCCAGTTGGTCATATTTAGTATTGGTTACTAATATCAGTATTCCTCATTTGTACTTTCTTTCTATGTTTTTTGTCATTTCCTTAGTTTAAGCTCTCATCAATTTTCACTTGAATTACTGTAATAATCTTTTTTTGTTAGTCATCCTCTGTAGCTTTGTCCTCTTCTAATCTGTCCTATATGCTGTTGCCAAAGTGATATTTCAGAAGTATAAGTTCTCATCTTCTCCCTCTTCTGTCTCCCTGTACTGTGTCAGTGACTTCCATGGCCCTGTAGCAGTTTTCTTATCTGGAATTCCATGGGCCCGCTAAGGGCTCTGTAAGCTCACTAACACTGCCACATTTTGTGTATGTTTATTTTTCTGGAAAGAAGTTGTCAAGATTCTCAAGAGTTTCGTGATCTAACATCCAACAACTGGCTTATAAGACAAAATTTCTTTCTAATCTGGCTTGTGGCTCTCTTTTAAAGCCTTTCTTTTTCCTGGCTACCCACCATAGCATCATACACCCTGGTCATGATGAATTTCTTATACATACCTTGCCATCCTTGAAAAGCAGTATAACTTAGTGGTTAAATACGAAGGCTTGGTGCCAGAGTAACCAAAAACAAAATAAAAACCCAAATCCACTGCCATCAAGTTGATTCTAACTTACAGTGACTCCGTTTGGGTTTCCAAGGCTGTAAATCTTTAGGAAATGGATTGCCTCATCTTCCTCCCATGGAGCAGCTGGTGAGTTAGAACCACTGACTTTTGGTTAGCAGCCAGATGCCTTACCCACTATGCCACTAGAGCTGGGTTCAAATCTCTGCCACTTACTGTTGTATGACTTTTGGTAAGAAACTGTGCCTCAGTTTACTCATCTGTTAAAAAGGGAGTGGTGGTAGTGATAATGATAATATTGGCAGCATTTAGGATTGGGAGAAAAACGAGTAACCAGTTTATTCTAATATTGAGATAACCAGCAGACTTCTGTATGGTGCATACAATTTTTGGGGCCATTGTCTACCTCATCACTGTTTTAAATATTCTCCTTTTGAAAAGCTTTGCTTTATAAAGTTGACCACATTGATGAAATTTTGTAATGCATAGGTGACAATCGCTGTATGGATGGAATGCTCGCTCTTCTAAAATTTCTGTAATATTCCATATAGCATGTGACTCTGGCATAGGGACGAGTGAGGATATCATGTAGCTCTGTATATTGTTAGTAAAGCTTAGTTTCTTTCCTATTTTGGGGTAAAAATACATAACAATGAAAGTTCAAATATTTTCTTAAAACTACTCACTTTGGAATCTACAGTGTTAGATTATATTCTAGTTATGAATCAAAAGTTCATGAATTCCTAATTCTATTCCAGCTTTCAAAAACTTACTATTCTATACAGAGGAATATCTTAATTTAAAACTATGTAAGGGAACTGAGGAAATATTCATGCTATGGATTTAAGATATTTCTGCAAAATTCTGTATTTTCTACACAACTGTAATTGTGGATAAACTGATTTCAAAGGATATACTAAGGGCCTGTTAAGCCATCTTAATTTACTTTTGAAAAGTAATTCATGCCATCATAATTTCAAAGTTCAAAACTATTTGAAGTTCAGACTTTTTAAAACAGAATCATACTAGTCTTTATTAGCAGTTTAAATTAATGAATCTTTAATATTCTTTATTATTTGTGGTATTAACTATCCCCCCATGCTTTTTAAGTAGTAGGAGTGAAACGTCCACATCTGATAACACAGAAACTTACCAAGAGAATACAAGGTAAGCTTTTGAAAAATTCTGCATCGATTACTTTATCAAATAATAAATTTTAAAGTCAAATTTTGTTTATTTGGTTAAATCACCAGACAGTTTTCAGTTTAGAAATAAAATATATAATGGCTATGTTCAGTGTTCCTATATTAAGTTAGAAGAGTTTTGCTTTCTCCTTTTACTGTGGTCAGGTTTCTTTCATGCATGATTCTGATAGAGTTGTCAGTATTGAACTGTTCCTTGTTGCAGTTCAGAGGTATTAGCAGCTAGTGATGCATGAGCTTGAAATTGTTTTGAAGTGTTTCATTCTGGTTGTCAGTGCTTTTGTTTTTCACTTTTCCTAGCTAATTTGTATGTTAGCTTCTATAGGGAGTGGGCTATATATGAAAGATAAGTCACTGATGGAAGTCTTTTAAATGTTTTAAGTTCTTAGTTACAGGATTTCCAAACTTGGGTAACACAGGATATTTTAAATTTTTGAGGAACACACAGTGACATCTATAATCTCTAACTACTTATAGTTGTTTGGAGACAGTTATTTAATAAATGGAATTGTTAGGAGTTTGTGTGGCCTAGAGGCCATCATGGAAAAATTTTTCTGAGATACTAACAGCACTGTGAACTGAGAACTTTTGGAGATCTCTGTTCTAGATTATTTATTGTAAACACAGTTATTTCAAGATAAGAGAATATTTTAATAGTCTAATAATTTTAACCTTTTTAAAAAGGACACGTGTACTAAATGGTCATAAAATAGGTGCATATAATTTTTATGTTATGATTTTAAATTAAATATGTTTCATTTAAAATTGTTTTATAGTACTTCTGGGCATCCCACCTTTAAGTGTCCATTGTGTCAAGAATCAAATTTTACCAGACAGCGTTTACTGGATCACTGTAATAGTAATCACCTATTTCAGATAGTTCCTGTGGTAAGTACATATGTTTAAGATGGTTTTCTGCTTAGATTAAAGCATGCTGTTCCATTTACTTTACTTCACATGTGCAACAAGGGAAGGTAATTGATATAAATGGAGGGGACAGCATTATCAATAAGGTAGATGTTTATCAACAATGACTGTGACTCAGAATGAATTCAGTAACTCACAGTATAAAAAGGAAGATCTTGTTGTCAGGGTAATGTAGAAGAATAGTTTAGAGAGGAGGAAGTATGGAACGTGAACCTGGGATTTATTACCCAGAGATGGCAGATTCTAACTCTACTGGAGCCTCTCAGTTTCTTGCTTTGTAAGGTGCAGGCTGTGGGATGCAGTGAGGTTGATCTACAGCAAGTAAAACAACTATAAGTAAGATTAAAGTCAGTAGATATTTTTAATTGTGTCCTTGGAGGATGTAGTGTATGAATGCATAAAGCAAGGAGGGAAAAGAATCATACTTTTATGTACATTAATTCTTTCTGGTGCAGTTTTTGAGAATATATAAGAAAGTAGTATGATCTTTTTGGTGAATGAGGGAGACAGAGTAGAATGCAGGGTTCTAGAATTATGTTAATGGTCCTACAAACTCATTTGAATCATAAATTTTATAGGTAAGTGATTTCAACTTTGGATAGAATGGGAGAAACTAATCTAGAAGTGATACTTCCCTTTCATCCACACATTTGATACATAAATATTTTCTGCAGAAATTAGATGGAAAATGGTATAAGTGAAACAAGGATTGTAGATATTTCTAAGATGTCCTAGTAGATACATTTAGAAAAATTACAAAAGCATATGCCCTAGTAACTATAGGAGGATGCCTTTAAACTCTTGGATTACAGATAGGATTGATCCTATCTACTTTGCTCATGAGATAGAAGAGGGTCAGTTACGTTAAGTAACCAAATATAGTGCCAAAGACATTTCTGAAACATTTCTCCCATATGTCAGAGGTTTCACTTAATATTTTATATTGGACGTAATTTTTATTAATTTCAGCATAATACTCAGTGTGTCATAAACTTTTGGTAGAGTCTAACGATTAAAGTTTCTTTTTATATCATTTCAATATTGATATCCATTCACTTTTCATAATTTAATTCAATTAAAATCTTAAGGGAACGTTACAACAATTTAAAAATTTAAAAAGAAATCCTTAAGGATACAATTTAACATTTACTTTCATTTTACTTATGAATGAAATGAAGCTCATAATTACATAACAGTTATTGTGTGGACCAAATAAGATGACATACTAGGTACTTTGTAGGCAATCAACAGTGACTATCATTGTAATTAGGTGATGGCAGTGGTTAAAGCATCTGGCTGCGAACTAGAAGGTCAGCAGTACAAACCTACCAGCCTCTGTGCAGGAGAAAATTATGTCATTTTACTTCTGTAAAGGTTATAACCTTGGAAATCCTGTGAGGCAGTTCTATTCTGTCCTACATCACAGGACTGCTATGAGTTGGAATCAGTGCAATGGCAAATGGGTTTTGAGTTTATCATTTTAATTGATATTATTGATATTATTAAGGGCTAGATGTGTTATTTCTACTGAGACTATTGTGTAATTAGAGATTAAGTAATATAATGTCTAAGATAATCTCTTTATTGTATTGCATTAGATGAGTGATTTTTCTCAAGTAATTTGGTTGGACACTTACCTAGTTGTGGAAGGCCCTTAGAAATGCTTTTCATGTAGATGTTTTAGGTTACATGAGCCTGTGTTGTTTTAATACCCTCTATAATGATAGTGTTTGATTATTTCCATTGTTTAAAACAATCTCTTTCTTATAGACGTGTCCTATTTGTGTGTCTCTTCCTTGGGGAGATCCTAGCCAGATTACTAGAAATTTCGTTAGTCATCTAAATCAAAGACATCAGTTTGATTATGGAGAATTTGTGGTAAGTACTTTCTTCAGGATTAAGAAAATGTACTGTGCAAATACTGAAATTTAATTAGTGTTGTGAGTCTAGACTTGAGTTTGAAGCCAGCGGTGATACTGGGTAGATATAAAGTAAGTTCTGTTTTTGCTATAGAGATGAAAATTTGGTTTGTAGAAGTGGTATAAAAGTTTTACCCTCCATCTTCTATACAAGAGACATAATAGAGGAAAAACAAATGACTAGGTAAATAAAATAAAACTCTGTCTAGATTGAAGGGAAAATTAGTACATACTTGTTGTTATGTTGTTGTTATGTGCCGTTGAGTGAGACCTGAGAAGTAAAATTGATATAACATAGGAAGGAGGATGTACTTCTCATGTGGTGTAAGTTACTTGTTAAGCCCACTTACACTACATCACATTTTAAAAATGAGGGAATCTAATTATCAAAAGCTAGGATGGATGGTGGATTCTGGCCTCAGTTGGCTACTTTAATGGGGTCAGTATGGAAAGTTACATGATAGAGAAATGGGTCTCCACAGCAAAATATGGGCTTAATTTCTACTTCCTAAATGTGTCCTAAGAGCTCTGATAGCGTAGTGCCTAAGGCACTTGACTGCTAACCAGAAGGCTGGCGGTTCAAACTCACCAGCCACTCCTTGGAAGGAAGGTTGGGCAATCTACTTCTGTAGAGGTACTGCCTTGAAAACCCAAGGAGGAGGGGTTGCTAAGCCAATATAATTCTTAAATTTCATTCTCTGCTTATCTTTTCTGTTGATTATCAGTTATTACATAATTACAAGTTATTTTTTATTAAAGTTCAGGTATTTATATCTTACATTTTAAAGGTTAAATGTATTTTGTACATTTATCTTGAGTATATGTGATATGTATGACGATGTGTAATGTATTGGGCAAAAAATACTGAGTAGTTAGGAGTTCTGGTAGCATAGTGCCTAAGGCACTTGACTGCTAACCAGAAGGCTGGCGGTTCAAACCCACCAGCCACTCCTGGGAAGGAAGATGGGGCAATCTACGTCCGTCGTGATACTGCCTTGGAAACCCAAGGAAGGGGTTGCTATGAGTCGGGTCCGACTCCAGGGCACATAACAACAGTTGAGTGTGGTTTTTCCTATTGACATGTTAATGTTACTGTTTTTTAGAATCTTCAGCTAGATGAGGAAACCCAGTATCAAACTGCTGTTGAAGAATCTTTTCAAGTAAACATCTGAAGGCTGTAGACATCTCTGTATCTTTGTACCTGCAAGTGCCATCTTTACGGGGAAAACAACATGAAGTCACCATTCCAGTAACTTGATGTGTATATTAATAAAAGTAATTCAGTCTGTTCTTTTAGGTTTTTAATTGAAAAATAAAGGTGGGCCATTTAAAAACTTCCATCTTCTTGATAAATTAAAAAATGAAAGTTATGACCAGCTTTAAAAGCATAAAAAGGATTATATTTCACTAATGTAATAGTGAAAAGGAAATCCCTGTTGTACTTTATCTTTTTTATGTTTCATATTGAATTTTTCATTGTTATGTTGCTTTTGAAATTTGGTGCAGTTTCTTGCATTTACTTTATTATACACAGGTAACACGGTAGCAAATTTTAAAGATGTGATTGATAAAAACCTAACAAATCTGAGCCAGTTACCAGAGTTGCAGAGTGGAAACTTGAAGTGCTAAGTGGAACAATCCAAAGTAAACTTTTTTTATGCAAATTCTAGCTGAAGAATTCAACTTTAAGAAAATATGTATTTATGTAACTTTTAGTATTTTTGAAGGCTAGTGACACTTCTTTAATCATATTAACTCTTTGTGAAAGCTCATTGTAAAAGATATTTTTGTTTTGGTATTAGAATGAAATATCAAGAGAAAAATTTCTTTCTTTGGTGGGTAGTTTCAGTCTTGTTTGTTTGGCTGACTAATTTGTAAACTCAAAATGAAGTAAGTTGCATAACAGCTCTTTGGCCTCATAATTTTTCAATAGCCAGTATTTCTGATTAGCTGAGAGAAAACTTTTATTAGAAATTTTCAGTTGATGATATATTCTGAATATATATTTAAATGAGAGGTTTGGCTTCATTTCAGTTTGGAAATTCACAGCTAAAGATCTGCACATTATATATGCATACAGTTTGTCAGATTACATACAGTTTCTATTAAGGATTTTAAAATTGGACAGTACTGAAAAATGTTTATCTGATCTGATTAAAATTTTGTATATTACCAAATTAAAAAAAGAAATAGTTAAATGATAAGTGGTCTAGTTGGCTGCTATTACATCTTAAAAATTGAGTTTACACACACACACCCACAGTGTTTATATGGTGCTCATTTGTTATTCTCCAAGATAATATGTGACTATGAAGTAGTAAGACAGATTTTACCAGCTACTGTTTAACTGTTTATTAGTCAAAACTGGGTTTGTTCTTAATATTCATTAATGAGAATTATAAAATATCTTGTACTAGGTGGCCCAAATCACATAAAAAAGGATAAAGAGTGGTCAACTGACATTCCTTACTAATATACATTATTTATGCTTTCTTTAAAAGAAATAATTAAAAACATAAACAAAAATCTCAGAAGTAGTTTGCTGCTAATATATACATATATTGTATAAAAAAGTGTATTTTGGTTTTGTTAAAACCCCTGTTGACTTTTCTAAAGTGAACCTTTTTTTAACTTGGTTTAATAAAAATGTTAATTTTGGAAGTGGAGTTTTGTAAAACCTTTTTCCGTCAAATAGACTTTCTTTATGGGTAGTAATAATCACACAAAAAAAGCCATACATCTAATTGAACATTTTGTTGGTTGCCATCATTAAGTGGTATTTAGTATGTGCTTGAACATTTTCTTTGTAGTTATATGAGTAGTTGGAAGAACAGCTGTTTAATGAATTCTTTCGGAAAAGATTTTTTTTCCTAGTTCAAAATAATAACTTCAGTTATTTCTTTCAAAGTTTAATACTTTAAATATGTCAAATCAAACCATTTTGGGATTTGAGAACTTCTTTAAATTAGGAAAACTATGTATGGTAGAGGAGCTCTGGTATCATAGTGCCTAAGGCACTTGCCTGCTAACCAGAAGGCTGGCAGTTCAAACCCACCAGCCACTCCTCGGAAGGAAGGTTGGGCAATCTACTTCCATAGTGATACTGCCTCGGAAACCCAAGGAGGGGTCGCTATGAGTCAGGTCTGACGCCACGGCACATAACAACAACAACATAAATGGTAAAGATCATATTGTTGAACTTGTGTTTTGAAATATTGTGGATACGTTTAATATTAATAGTTGTGTGTCTTTCCCATACATTTTTTTCACAAGGAAAATAACATTATTTGCTATTTGGTAACTTCTGAATAGGGGATGATTGTTTAAAATCTCCCCTTTTGTCTCAGTGAATTGGGAATAGAGAAGCTTTACAGATTTACAGTTTAAATTCATGAAATAAATTCAAGTTTCAGTGTTTATAGCTGAGTCATCACAAAGGAAAGAAATTATAATAATAGGTACCTAAATTTCCCTATACCACTCAGGAAAGTCATTTCTCTCAGCAAATTACAGTTTATGCTGTTAAACACAGCGTCTTATTTGAGATGTATTGCTTTATTTTTCAATTAAATGTGGTTTTCTCCTACTTGTGTGTCTAATTAAAATTTTGTCTAGAGGCAAACATGTTAAGATGTAAGTCTCATAATTCACCCTGAAAGACATGTAGGAGATAACCCTTCTTTTTTTTTTTTTTTGTACTTAAAAAATTGGATAGGAGAAAGCTACCACATGCTGATGCTGTTATGTTGGATTTAGCTTTATAAACCTATTTTATCTTTATTTCAGTTGTTAATCAACTTATAAAGCTGTTTATGAAGTGTCCATGCAGCAAAATTTTAAGCTCTGTTAGCAGCCAGGCAGAAAGCTAGTTAACTGAATTGGTTAATAAATCACTTTTATATGGAGAAATTACCCTTAAGCCAGATATTAGGGGCAGAACAACATAGTGCCTTATACAATATCATATGCTATCGGGCTGCTCCGGAGTCCTGGTGGTGCAGTGGTTAAGTGCTTAGCTACTAGAAGGTTGGTGGCTGGTGGGAGGAAGATGTGGCAATTGCCTTCAGCAAAGACTTGGAAACCCAGGAGCAGTTGGAGCAATTCTCTGTCCTGTAGGGTTGCTGTGAGTAGGAATGGACAGCAACAGGTTTTTTTTTTTTATTATTACTATTTTTAAATTGGGCTGCTCAGTAGGTAAATAGGATCCTCAGTGAATCATAACTTACGCCAAACTGCTTAGGGCTGCTATTCAAATAAAAACCTTTTATAGATGGGGTGATATTTTAGCATATATAGAAAAGATTTGACCCTGAATATATAAATACATGTAACACACAAATCATAGAAATAGGAATAAAGTGCTCACTTTAGTTTGCACTTACTGTGCAGTATAATTTCCTAATTATGTAGTACAAGTGAAAAAAGATAGGGAATGGAAATGAAGTACTAAAAACGAATAGAGGAACCTTGGAGAAAAAAGGTATCATCGCCTCCACTGCAGTTGTTCAATCAAGCTTGGGGCCAAGAGAGATGATGTTTACTATACTCACCCTCTCCTCCCTGATGGAGAAGTTAAATATGTATATTCCGTTATGTACTTGATTGACAAGGTATCAAATTATATAATTTATTTTATAACAAGAATACTTAAAGACATTGTGTTGCATAATTTAAGATGAGCAGGGCAGGGAAGCAAATATGGAGGAGACTGATATTCAGAAGATGAGTTAAAACCATTCAGTGGAGGATATGGAGAGGAAGAAAATACAGATACGGAGGAAATTTAATTTGCCTAAATGGGCAATTGTTAAGTTTTCTTTGAGTCAGACTACTGCGTAGGGTTTTTAAGGTTGTAACCTTTTGCAAGCAGACTTCATACCTGTCTTCTGAGACACGTGGGTGGGTTTGATCTGCAGCTTTTGACTGTAGTTACGTGCTTAATTATTTGCACTCCCATGGCCATCCAAATAGGCAGTAATGGTTCATAATACAAAAAGCACACACTGAACGTAACCGGAACGTTCAGATCAAGAAAGAAACTACTAGAATCCCATTAAGTCCTTTTGTTCCCACTTCCAATTAGTCCACTCACCCCATCACTATCTGAAGCATCAAATGAAAATGGAAGGATTATACAGTGTCACGATAAAAAATAACTGGTTGCAGTGAATTGCTTGATGTGGCCCTTCTAGCCATGGTCCTCCATTCTGTTGATGTTTTGTAAATCCTATTATCCATGCCTTTTTGGGGTGGTGTGGTAGTTAAGGTCAGGTATCAACTTGGCTGGGCAGCTGGTAGTAGTCATTCCCTATAATGATTGGCAATCGACTCTGTGATGGGATTTAGGTTAATTCTGTTGGGGCAACACAGATGGAATGTATCTTGAGTCCTGCCTTGCTGGAGGGTATAATTCAAATCACCACCCTTAGCTTCCCTGAGGGTATACCTACACAGGAGATAAGCTCTCCTTTTGCTCTGGCTTTGTGTCTTGGATCATCCTTATCTCACCCCTGGATTTGGGACAGCAGCCATCATCTGATCTGCTGATCGAGGTTCATCAAACCCCGAGAGTTGGGAGAATCCGCCAGACCTACTCACGGACCTGGGACTCACCACCCTGCCAGCCTCCACCACTACTACGTGAGATGAACCCTTGAGTGTCTGTGAGTTCTGTGAGGCGTTACAGTGAAATACAGAACCCTAAGCCTGGGGAAATTACTGGGAGGAGGAGGAGTTAATGTCTGAAATGATGGAGTGGCATGGTAGTTTGAACATTTGGGACATCTTTAACCTCCGCCTCATGGGGACCGGTCTCGTGCTGATCTTTCTAAGAGAAATTGTTCAAGCACTGGTCGATGTTCAACTGTTTAAGGAGGTACCATTCTTTTGTGTGTGTGTGTGATTTGGGTGAAAATTTACAGAGCAAATTCACTTTCCATACAGCAGTTCATGCACAGGTCTCATGACATTGACTATAATTTACCCCAACGCAACAGTTCCCCTCCCACTTCCTCCTGATAGTTACCACTTCTCTGTGTCCATCCCTCCGTGCACTCCTGCCCCCTGACCTGTCTCCCTGTGCATAAACAGCCCTTCTTTCTCCCATGATTGTTCTCTCCAAGGAATGTGTCTACCTCAGGTAAATGTTCAACTTGTATGCCTGTCTTGTTTG